TTTTTCTTGCAAATTGAGAAAATCACTTCTTTGTTTTATTTCTTTTTATTAATTTCTTCTCATCCTTCTTCTGCTTAATTCTTCTTTTTAACCTTTTGTTTATTTTCTGTCTTAATTTTAAACATTTTCTTTTTCCTTTTTTCTTTATTTTATGGATGAGAGAAGGAATCATTTCATTCCCATTATATTATTATGTTTAATTTTCTTTTAGTCATACCCACACTTCAGTATATCCTTATATTACACCATGTAATATTCTACCATAATATCTTGCTACACCCTTTGCAACATTCCCTAATACATTCCTAATTCAAATACACCGTCATAATCAGATAATAACTGGGAGTGTCAAAGCATTAAGTATATTGGTGTTTTTATGGTATTTCAGATATGCTACCTTTGATCTGTAAGTCAAGAAAAAGAAGAAACAAAATGAAATACAATTTATTATATGTAAGTCTTGAATAACCAAAAATTAAATTTCATTTCAAATAGAAAACCATATTTAAAAAGTTGTAAATGTATTATAATTAATATTATAACCAAAAACAACTCTTTTTATACTTCTCTGTTATAAAATTGTTTGATATATTAAACAAAAGAATTAATAATATATTAAAAATATATTAATATTTCTTCTATGTATCATATACTATTTTTAGAAAAAGAAATCCAGAGTTATGGATAAAAACTTTTAAGTCAATAAATCCATTACAAACGTTTTTGTGTTAAATAAACATTTATATAAGTCAATAATTAATTACATAATATGTTTAAGAATTGTTGTACCTCTTCAGTATTAAATTTATCAATCTCAAACTCATAATCTAAAGTATCCTTATAACCCATAACTTGGAGTTGTTTTGTAATATTTATAAGTTTTTCTTGAGAAGCAAAAGGAAGCAATTCCATGATTTGATTTTTTTGCCATTCAAGTCTAATTTGTTTATCAGCAATTTCTGCTGGAGGAGCAATAGGTTCAAGAAGAACTTCAATAGGAACGACTGATTGTGTTTTAAGAAAGTCTTGGCAATAAAGAGTACGTTGTAAATGAGTTTGAAGAAACTCCTTCCAAGAAGTAGAGTTATTAATTAATAAAGTTTCAACTGACTTTCTTATGCCACTTATATCTTTTAGCATTTCAGAGATAAAACCTACACATTCTTTTGGTATAATACCATTTTGGTTTGTTAAAGAATAATTAATTTCAATCAATTTTAATATACTTTCTGCCTTTTCAGGTTTTAATGCCTCAATACAACAATTAATTGCTTTAAATTTATCTTCAAAAGGAATGTCTGCATCAAGAAAGAATTTATTTTGTAATGGAAAAACAATAATAAATAATTCTTCTGATGATTTTGTTTGAACAATTTCTTCATAATGACCTTTGATAATTGGTCTTAGTGGAGGTTGTGTAATAAGAAAGAGTTTAACAATATTCAATACCACATCTGTCATTAAAAATTGAAATGAATTTTTATGATTATTAATTTTTATTTGTGGTTTTTTTTTTGTTATAAAATATAATAAATTATAAATATACTTACTATAAAAATATAGTTTAAATAAATTGATAAAAAATAAATGTTAAAGAAAAGAAGAAAATAAATATTAATTTTTTATATCAAAACACTTATTTATCTTTGATTCTTTGTCTTGAATAAAACTCTTTACATTTTCTTCAATATGAACTGTAATCTTCCATTATTTTTTTTTAATAAATTATGAATAAAAATAAGGAAGTTGTATTTTTGATTTTTTAGAATTATGAATAAGGAGAAAATTTCGATATAATTTTCTTAAAAAATCACCAAATTTCTATCAAAACAAAAATATGATAATTTCTTTAATACTTTATACTTCTCTAACACATTCTTTTGATAATTATTTCCATAAAACAGAAGATTAAAAATCTATAATATTTTAAAAACCATAATAAAATAAAAAGAATAAAATTATGTGTTGTATATAACATTCATTAAGTAATAAATAAAAATTAAATAAAAAAAAGAGAAACAATTCTAAATAAATCTCAATGTATCTCTACGTGAATTTGTTTATTTTTTTTGGCATGGTGTAGACATCTTTTTAGCTAATGAACCACAATTTACTTTGAAGTTCTTTAATTTTAAGAACTTATCTCCTTTCTTTGGAACAAGTCCTTTAACAGCATCAGATAAAGCTTTAGCATTTTTCAATGCAACTTCTTGTCTTTTAAGAATATATTTCTTATCTAATTTTCCTTGTAATCCAGCAAGAGCAATTTTGCTTTGAGCTTTATTTAATTTCAAAGCAGCCTTTCTATTTCTTTTAGCAATTTTATCTTTAACAAGCTCTTCAATTTCATGTTTTCTTTCCTTTAATTCAGCCAAATGTCTATTATGAGCATCTACAAGAATGTCACGAGCAATTTGAGTCTTAAATACTTGTCTTTCTTCTTTAGATTTAACAGCTAAATTCTTAAGTCCTTCAAGAGCCTTCTTTTCAGTTTCAAGAGTGGATTTAATTCCATCAGAAATAGTTTGAAGGATTTTCTTTTTATTAGCAGTTTCAGCTTTAACCATAAGAATATCCAAATTAGCAGCTTTATCTAAAGCAGTTTTTTTGTTATTAGATTTAATAACACTCTTTAATATTTTTTTAGTTGCATCTCTTTCTAATTGTTCTTTTTCATGTTTTAAAACAGCACTTCTTAATTTAGCAAGATCTTTTCTATTATTTTTATAAGCAAAATTCTTTCTAATTTGTGCTCTTTGAGCAGCTTTTAAGTTTTCTTGTTCAATTTTCATATCATTAGCAATTTTCTTTTCTGCAATTGTTTTCTCAGTTTCAAAAGCTGTTTTTTGTTTTTTTAATTCGTCAATTTCATCAGCTAATTCAGCTTTAATTTTAGTTAAATAATCATTCTTTTCAATATCTAATTTATTCTTTAATTTAGTATCAAGTACTTTTTGTTTTAAATCTTCAACTTTCTTTTGATTTTCTAATTTATATTTTCTAAGAGCATTTCTAGCACATGCAATTTTTGCTTTTTTATATCTTTTTAATTCAAGTAATTGTTTTTCTAATTGAATTCTTTGTTCTTCATTGTTTTGAATTTTAGCAGTTTTAATTTGTTCTTGTAATATTAACATCTTTCTTCTAATAACTTCAGCAACTCTATCTTTTCTTAATTTCTCTTCTCTTTCTTTCATTTCTTGTGCAGCATCTTGTCCTCTTAAATTATTTAAATATTGCTTTGTTTTTTTAATTGCTTCAATTCTTTTATTATGTTCTGCTTGTTTTACCTTTTCAAGTGCTTCATTTGTTTCATCAACTCTTTTCTTAGACTCTTCTAAATCTCTAATAAATCTTCTTCTATTTCTCATTTGTTCTGCTTGTGCTTCTACAATCTTTTCTGCAGTAATTTTAAGTCTATAATATTCTATACTCTTCTTTCTTAATTCTTCCTTCTTCTTATTTAAAGAATCAATAAGAGCTTTTTCTTTTGCAATTTCTTCCATTTTAGCTTTTAATTCCATCTTTTCAGTTTTTTGTGTTTCATTAATTTTCTTATATGATTCAATAATGGATGCATTAACTTTAGCACTTTCTTCTTCAATAGTTTTAATACTAACATTAATCTTCTCTATTTGTTCATTTACTTCTTGAGTCTTATTAACTGAAGTGGAATTATTAATTCTGTTTAATCTATCTCTAATAGCTTCAGTTCTATTTTCTGTTGGGATTTTAACTTCTTCACTTAATAATGCTTTTTTATACATTTCTATAGCAAGGGCATTTGTTCCCATTGGTTGCTTTGGGTTTAAATCACTGACAACATTAGCAACATTAGTTTGTGCACATTTTGGTGCAGCAAAAGCACTGACAGCAATTATAAGGATAATTACAGCTTGCATATTATAATATAATTCTTAGATCATCTCAATATTCCTTTTCAGCTTTTGTTTTTTTTTTAGAACATTTTTTTTTGTCATTTTTTTGTTGTATTTGATAGTTTTTTTTTAATTCTTTTTATTATTTTAATAGATTCGCTCTTGTTGATTTTTGAGCTTTCTTTTATGAGAAGTATCTACTATTTTTTTTCTAGTTCTTTTCATAACAATTTACTTGATTTCCCGATTTTTTATTATTATTTGTTCTGAATTTTTATAAAAATAAAAATACTGAAAGAACTATTTATTTTAAAAAAATTCAATAACACAATACTAAATTTTGTTATTTAAAAATCAAAACACAAACCTAAAAAAAAAATAATGATAAAAACAAAAAAGAAATAAAGAAAAAAAGATCTTAACAACTAAAAAAGTTTATATTATTTACATGAAGTTGTTGTATTTTGTATTATTAGTTGTCTTTGTTTCTGCAACTCCCAAAACCAACTCAACAGAAAAAAAACAATCTTCAATTGACAAGTTGATTAATGATGCTACAAATACTTCAAAACCTATTCCTGTTGTTGAAGCCGATCCATTAAACACAAATGAAACACAAAAATTAATCAAAGAACTTGCTGATGCAGAAGTTACAAGAAATACCTTAAAAGAACAAACAAAAAAAGCTCAAAAAGCATTATTAAAACAAACTGAAGAACTTGCTAAGGAACATAAAATTCGAATGAAAAAAATTAAAGAACAATCACAAGATTTTGAGAAAAGAGAACATTTAAGAGAACAAGTTGAAGAGGCAAAATTAGCATTATTACATGCTAATGGAAGCTTTGTAGAAACTAAAAATGATGTTGCTGCATTAAAGAATTATACAGAAGAAGAAATGAAACAAATTGAATATCAAAGAAAGGTTCAATTACGTGATAAGATTGATGCAGAAAGACGAAGAGT